CCCCGTTGACAGTCCACGAGCGCGTCCATAGTGTCTCTCCCCATCCCGTCCACCCAGTGAAAAAGTCCCCACTTTGATGAATGTGTGGTGGATTCTTTAGTTTAAGAGGACTCATGATCGTCTGGATGAAGATAGATGGATTCTTTAGTTTAAGAGGACTCATGATCGTCTGGATGAAGATAGATTGATTCTTTAGTTTAAGAGGACTCATGATCGTCTGGATGAAGATAGATTGATTCTTTAGTTTAAGAGGACTCATGATCGTCTGGATGAAGATAGATGGATTCTTTAGTTTAAGAGGACTCATGATCGTCTGGATGAAGATAGATTGTCCACAGTAGAGGTAATAATGTTCATCTGGTGCTCTCTGTATCCGACAGGACCAACACGGTCATCACCAGGTGCTGAAGAGTTACACTGAAGGAATGTGTTGAGGTAACTCCATTTCATCTCTCAGACCTTTTTATTACTTTTTCCTGTTGGTTTTATCGCGTTGTCATTAAATGTTTCATGTTTTGTTCATTATTTTTGTTGTTTTTGATCCTGGTGCGTGAAGCCCTTCAGGCCGCGCCATGAGAACATGCAAAGGCTATACTAATAACAATAATATAATAATAATAACTACGACGCCGCTGGGTCCTAGCGCTACGTGCTCGGGCCCTAATAATAATAATAATACAATATTAATAATAATAACACGTTATTAATAATGCTAATACAATGTGAATATTGTTATTAATAATAATAACGTAATAATAATAATACTTAATAATATTTTGTATTTGTATTCCTCTCATTATTATTATTATTATTATTAATAATTGTAATTGTATCATTGTTTTTATTAGCTTTACTTTTGTAATTATTATATATTTCTTAAATGAATTACACATAAATAATGAATGAAGTATATACTGTATATTTTTTAGAAGTGTTATCATTATTATTATTAATTAAACAGTATTATTGTTAATAATATTATTTCTATGAAAGCAGATAGGAATGAATTAGCAAACCAAACACTCCAAAACCCCACAAATAAATAAAATAAAACCTTAATAAATTAACAAATTATAAAAAACTATTTAGAATAGTTTTTTTAACTAAGAAAATCCAAAAGCGTCTCACTAGGAAGGAAGACAGAAAATGCAGATATTTGATGTTTAGGGGATGAAAGGATAATGACCCTCCTGCTTGGATTAAAAGACACACATGTGATCCTCATGTGTGTATTTTAATTGTATTAAAACATGATTTGCGTTGCCCTGTACGTTAGAGAACAGATGTTGAATCCCTGCGAGTTGACATCATGCCGTCCCAACGCAGCGGGTCTCACTTTCTGACCACACACATATTAAAAACACACAGAATTATAAAAAGTGAATAACAAGTTAAAGGTGGCAGATGTTAGGTGGATGCAGTGCTTGTTTTGCACCCTGGGGCACTCAGGGTGGGTGGAGTTAGGAGCGATTTTAGTCGCGTGTCAATGTTTGCAAACGGACCTCCGCCCACCCCTGTGCATCAGGCTGGGAACAACATGATGACATCACAGTGAACCGGCCAATCACAACACACAGTGGCTGCTTTCCCAAAATGTGTGCCAGCAAAGGCGTCCTCCTCCTAATTAAATTTAAACAGGACTTTTAACTCAGATGCACTTTGACTACAACACATGTTGGGAAAGACAGGAAGCAGGAAGTCACTCCAAGCCAATCAGATTGAGCTTTACCTCCGTCGGTCCTCCACGCCTGCTATTGGATGGAAGAGCTTTCTACACCAAACACAGAGGTACACAGGAAGAGGTGAGGAGAATATACACAACCTGACACCTGGAGGAAATCAAAACAGGAAGTGTGTGTGTGTGTGTGTGTGTGTGTGTGTGTGTGTGTGTGTGTGTGTGTGTGTGTGTGTGTGTGTGTGTGTGTGTGTGTGTGTGTGTGTGTGTGTGTGTGTGTGTGTGTTACCTGTGTTTTCTGCAGTGGAGAATGTGCAGTGACCGTTGGTCGGGGGTGGGACCGGTTCTCCGTCAGGTCCTTGCTCTCCGTACGCTCCTCCGTACGCATCCTCATAACCCGGATCGTACTGCTCCTCCTTTATCGCCGCCTTCTTGGCATCCTCTGTGGATGCAGAAAAAAAAGGAGAAGAGTTCATGTCAAGCATGATCTGACAACATCTGGTTTGCTTACTGCACATATTTAATATTTTATTGCATTCCACTCCAATGTAAATTACTGATTGATTTTATTTTCAATTTTTTTTTTGTAATGTTATTCTAGTGTTCTTAAAATAGTTTGCTATCTGTGTTTTTTTACATTTTTGTTTTACTTGTAAAATGCACCGTGACACCAAGTCAGATCTAGAAATATAACCCAAATAAACCCGTTTCTGATTCTGATCTAAACTGGATCCAGAAGTCAAACTAAAGGCAGGATTTTAATAATATTTTGAACTGAAACACAAAAGGTGTCACGCCAAAGATGCTACGTCTTTAAATGACTATTAGCATTTATTGAAAAGAGTAAAAACCGAACTTCCCTACACTAGAAATGTGAAAATGACTTTCAAATCGTTATAGATTTTAGTTTGTTCTTTTGTAGTTTTGATTAAAGAAAAACGGTTTGAAATGCAACTTAGTGATTAAATCCATGTTGAATGACTTAAACAAAACACATCCATTCCTCCACTACTGTGCTTACCCTTGGCCAATTTCAGGTCGAATCTGTAATCAATCTCCTCGATCTCTTTGCTCTTTTGGAGACCCTTCAGCTCGTCTCTGAGTTCCCTTAGTTTGATGTAGAAGTGAACTTTGTCCTGAGCGCGAGGGAACTGAGCACAGCGAGCGCTGGACGAAGGCATCAGATACAGAGCCTGTGGAGGGAATCACCGTCAGATCGATACCTCAGAAGGTGGCGGCAGATCGAACAATGTCTATGGTGTGGTTAAAGAAACTTCTATTTTAAAACAGACTTCATTTATGAGACTGATTCAACGTTTAAAAATACTACAAAATATGCTGCATTTAAGTGTCCCTTTTTCAGTACAGATGCTGATTACCACGGGTATGTAGTACTCATCTGATACAATCCTTTTACTAAACAAATAACACAAAGTCTCAACAGGAAATGTAGAAAATAAATGTATTATGCGAGGGTCATTTGTTAAATGAAACTAGCTTTCATCGATGTTTGAGGCTAATGATGCTCACCACTTCACAGTCGGGGATCTTGTGCGGCTGCAGACCAAAATCTAGTTTCTTTGGTTTTTTACCAAACATCTCCCTGCAGAACATTTCATAGATGCCTTGGGAGGGGGGGGGAAAAAACAGATAAATATGACTTATATTCACATTAACGAATGCTTGATTGTAAAAGTGTGCTCTGTTGAAGATAAGCGCTTACATTTTCCATTAAAAACAGCAATGAGAGGCTTGTATTTCCTCAGCTTCTCTACGAGAATTTGACCTCCTTCACGAAACTCTTTACTGTTGGGATGAAAAACAAAACATGGTTATAATAAAGTGTTACGACACAATCCTGACGCTCAGAGGAGTCTCAGCAGAGAGGGCACAAGTACACACATCCTTTACTCGAGTAGAAGTACAGATAATCATGTTTAAAAATACTCTGGTAAAAGTAGAAGTACTGACTAAACTTCTTTACTCAAGTAAAAGTAAAGAGGCTTTGAAATGTACTTCAGTAAAAAGTACCCATAACTAGCAGCTGTTTTAAAGAGTACCTGACCTCCCTTTATATTAATAGAACAATAATGTCATTGTTAGCTAATGAATGTTTCCATGGTGACCAACGGCAACATGACAACGTTTTCATTGGTCCCTCTTCTTTAGAGAAGACCAGGAAGTGATGGATACACGGATCGTGTTCAAATCAATAGGCACGTAATGACTCTAAATAATAATGATCACGCCACCAAACACACATTCAGACTAAAGGAACCAGCCTGTTTGGGAAATGTGAGAAGTAGAAAGTACAGGTATTTGTGTTCAACATGTAAGAAGTAGAAAGTACAGGTATTTGTGTTCAACATGTAAGAAGTAGAAAGTACAGGTATTTGTGTTCAACATGTAAGAAGTAGAAAGTACAGGTATTTGTGTTCAACATGTAAGAAGTCAAAGTAAAAAGTCGTCAGAAAAATAAGTAGTGGAGTAAAGTACTGATACCAAAAAAGTGTACTTAAGTACAGTAAAGAAGTATTTGTACTCCACTACTTCCCACCTCTGAATCTCAGCCAGACTTCTTGTCCAACTTCAACAGACTGACTTAAATACAGACTTTATTGGAAAAAAATCAATATAAAATTGCATGATTATATGTCTAAAGGCGTACGTTGAGAGGTCTTTGCTGCCTGGCGTCGCCCTGGCAACCATGTTGGTGAAGCCCATTTTGTATTTGACAGGCAGGATGGTGTCGGACGTGTGGTTCAGAAGCTCCTTGGTGAATCCAGACAGAAACAGGCACTTCCCTGGAAAGCAAAACCATCAATCAGTCATTCATCTGTGTAGCAAACAAAGACCGATGTATTTGACTGAAGCTAATGGTGTCCCGAATGCTGCTTATTATGCATGCATAACATAGGAAGAGAGTTCAGTTTCTCTTAATGACAGTGTTGAATTGGAGAAGAGATAGAGACGGGTGTCACAACATTCAACAGTCCATCACTCGGCTAACAAGTACAGTATGTGTTTTGGTGTTCGCAAATCCGTTTGAGATATTCCAAAAATTAAGTTAAGGAGCGGGTATTAAATAAAGAATACATCTGATGGCTTTATCAAATTCAGATATAAATATGAAATTCAAAAATGCAGTATACCAAGGATAAGCAACAAACCAGCTAAGCCGATACATGTTTTTGATTTGAACCTGTATGAATATTCGTAGTGTCCAAACGGCGGTACTGCAACTTCCGTATCAGTCCGTGACATCACCCGGCCCAAAACATCTTTTCCCAATTGACTAACATGGGGAAAGAGACGTCTGTAAATCGTTGTATTTTTTTTTTTTAACTAAATAAACTACCCAGTATGAACTATTTTATAGCCCTTATTATAATCATTCTGTCCTTAAAGTTGTAAAATGCACTAAAAGCCGAATCTAGATTTATTTTTTCTCTCCAATCATTCTACTGAGCCGAGAGTGGGAGCTTAGGGGGCGGGGCTTAAGGGGCGCATGCTCTGTGAGCGCACATACGGGTTCTTCTGCTCTGACAGCTAGGCATGCTGGGTAATCTGTGACGTTTCGCTCTCTCAAATGTTGGGCCATTTTGTCCTCATGCGCCAATGAGCAGCTCTCATAGGAACGAACGAGACCCCGCCTCCCACGCTGTATCCAGTTCTTATTATACATCCATGGTATCACCCCACTTGGGGTCCCTGGGTCTTGCAAAGATAGTAAATAATCACACACTTGCCCTTCACACAAATTGTTTTAGATTTTAAATAAAGCTTTTCTGATTATTTTCGCAGACCATCACAGGAAATTCTGGAAATCAATTACTTACAGAAATGATTTCCACCACCCGGGAACCACCGTCCAATGTAAGCTGCCATCAGCCCTGGATTAATACCGATCTGGAATGAAAAGCAATGCTCATTACAAACCTTAATTTGCACGGTCTCTGGCTTTACTCGCAAAGATTTGAGCAGGGAATCTTACAATGACGTAGTCCAGGTTGTAATCCAGCAGGTCAGGGAGAGTTTTGGTCATGACTTCCTCCTCGGACATTCCCTTGAAGCGGTCGTGTTTCCTCTTCACCTTCTTGAAGCTCTCGTCGATCTTCTCTTGCTTTCCGTCTGCTGAAACCTCGGCTCCCTTCTTGGACTTCGGGCCCGGTTTGGCTTTCGGTGCCTTTGGATCTTTAGGGGGCTTCGGTGGCTTTGGTTCTTTAGGGGGCTTCGGTGGCTTTGGTTCCTTCGGTGCCTTGGGGACTTTTGGGGGCTTGGGTGCCTTAGGTTGAGCTGCTCTGCCTCTTTTTTTGGGTGGGGCTACAGGAAAAGCTCAAATTAGTATAAAAAAAAAAGTCTAAAAAGGACGAAATATCAAAACCCTCACAGACAGACTTTATCCAGCTTACTGTTCTAAATTACTCCATCTAATTTAGTGTTTGGACTGTCCTGACACATATCAAACTTCCATGCAAACCATAAGACTATTACACATTATTTTAAGAAAGCCAAATACAAAAAAGACTGCCAACTATGTGCAATATGTATATGTATATGTATATGTATATGTATATACACATACGGTTAAAAACTGTGCAATATATTTAATTTAATTTTTATTTGTCCCGCTCATGGAAGGCAAAACCAAATGTACAATAATTGCCAAGAAAACCGGACTTTACCAAAACACCATTTAGCAAAAAGGAGCAGGGAGAAGAATAAAATCTTATGTGACCTGCCCCTTTCTAAAAAAAATAAATACAAATAGATGGTCTGCCCTTCTTAATAATTTTTTTTCACAGCCAAACATAACAGTATCTTAGAATACAAAGAGAAACACACAAAAAAATACTTATTTCCCACTTGACGGTTAACAGAAAGAAATATATATATATACCTGGCTGCTAAATCCTCAGAACTGTTACAGGGTGTGTATTTTTGTAAAATGTTCTTTTCTGCTGTAACAATGTAAATGCCCCCTCTGTGGGACTAATAAAGATTCTGATATATTTTCAAAGTCTGTCACTTACTTACAAAAAGCTTTTCTTCACAAGCCCACTCACTTATAGCATGCAGCATAACAAAGCTTTCATCAGATCTTATCATTTAGGAATACATGTGCAGACCTACTGTTGTCAACAATGAGTACCACTTCATTAAAACACTAAAAACTCCTTGCCTGACCCAAAAGCAGCAGATCCATACACAACGTTTAATGAGATCATAGTACGTTTTGCGATGTTTTCCGGCTCCTGCTCCTCCATCTTCGGTTCTGGATACGCCATGTGAGCCATGGCTGCCTCTCCGTTCGGCCCCTCGGGGTAATGGGACTGCTGGTTGGGGTCGTAGCCTGAATATTGTGCCTGGTGTGCCTGGAGAGCCTGAAACTGCTGTGCTGACTGAACCCTGTGACAAAGATCACACAGAGGAAAGTATTGATACAAGAAGAGAAATAGCAGAGGGATGAGCTGCATGGTGACGCCTGAGCTGGAACGACACCATGTGCTTTTTTTCTGGACTTGATTGACTTTAACACAGTGATAATGCAAACATATGTTTTACATCTGTTGGTCCTGGGAGTTGGATACTTACTCGTTACAAAGCTTATCTGTGTTATTTTAAAACAAATACATAACACATTTTATTTCAATTCCTTATTTCTAGATTTATGTTGCATTTTCTCTTACTATATTTGATGTCAGGCAACAACACATCAAAGGATATTCCTTGTAAAAATATACTTGGTAATAAACAAGACACTGATTCTTCTGCACTTTCTTACAATTATTTAGAGCCAGTTAATACGTTAATTTAAAAAGCCTTCAACCTTTATTTCATTTTAAGGAGATATACGTGTCTTAGTCTCCCAAACTACTTCAAAATGACCACAAATTATTTCTTAAAATAATTTTAACAAAACTGAACATCATGCCTTAAAGGGAGATTTTATTACAGCTCTGTTGTATGAGTTTGTATTAGTTTTAAGCGAGATGAAACTTATACATTGGACTGTGTTGTATATAATAATTCAATAAGGAGTATATACAGATCACCCCACATGAAAACCCACACTGTTAGTTCCCAGTCAACAATGGTTAGTTAATCAAAGAGAGCTTCACATCATATTCATAAAAAAAGAGTTCCACAAAAAACAAGTTTCCCTTTGTTGTTCCTGAATGAAACCAAAGTATAAAACCATCGAGCTACACACAGTTATCACAGCACTGTACATCAAACTTCACGGTGCACAAACCACCTGTCATATGGTGAAAACAATGGTAAAACAAAACAGAAAAAGGGGCGCACATGCTTTCATTTCATCTTCATCACTCTTTGCCATTCACAGGTTTTTAATCTTTGGCCACATTGTGGAGGAAGACTCACCACTGCTGAAGATACTCCGGGGACACAACAGGGAATCCATTCAGCTTGTCCTCCATCTTTTGGGTGGTTTGACTTAATTAAATAAATCAATATGCAAATTGAGGAAACATGGCTAGGTGATATTAAGCATACTGAGTCTGGCAGTGTATGAAACTGAATGCATGTGCCAGGGCTTTGTACACAAAACTGTGGAGTTAGCAACAAAAGATAAACCATAACATAAACCATAAAAACAAAAAGGATAACTTGATGAGGGTTTACACAATAAAATGAAGTTAAACGGTCTTATGCATGCCCTATTTTACAAGCAAAATAACTAATTGTGCAACTACATATGCACACCGGCATCTTCTACTGTAGCTATGCTAACCAACAAGCTAACAGCGAATGAAACCCAGTTATCACATTTAAAAAGGTGTTAGCTAGCATAATTATGTATGAGTCTGTCGCTAACTAATTCCAATCATACATGATCAAATATATGTTATTGTAAAAAGGAAACGTGTAGCAGTGACACAAGTGCAGCTAATGTTAGCCAACAGCTAGCTCTGAAGCTAACTTAGCATGGATGAATGGTTTCGCTTCCACTGAGATTCCTCGCAAAAGAAATTGAAAACAATTTAGCAGAATTTATAAACGTTGACGTACCTGTTGTGGGTAGGGTTTTATTTACTTTCTTCTGTACATGTAAGTGTTATTTTTCCATAAATGCCGCTCTTCTATTCACAACAGAGGCAACAAAGACATGACAGCCCTGCTGGTCAACTTTGACACCGGAAGAGCTCAAGTATGAGCCGTAGGTGTGCACCGTGGAAGAAGGAACATATGTTTTACTTTCAACAAGTAAAATTACTACTATCAGTATATTTTGATAGCATTAAATATTGTAAAATCTCATATTATGAAGATGTTTGGATATGGTGTTTGAACTGAAAACAGCACAATAAAATCAAAAACCAACCAACCGGTACACCCCTGTTTTAGCATTGGTATGAGCCGCAGGACTTTTAAACTCTCCGGTACTTGTTTTCTATTGGCTGAGAGTCTTTGCTGTTTAAAGAGCCAAGTGTTTTAAAATATCTCTTAATCGTATAAATAGAGTAACTGAAATATAACATATATAGAGACAGAGAAAGCACAGAATAGTACAATGATATAAAAAATAAGAACTTAACGGAACTGGTAGGCAATGAAATCTCTTTTTTTAAGATATTGTACCATATGGCAAATTTCTTTGTTTACAATTGGCCTTTTTGGATGTGAAATTGACCAAGTAACAATATGTTGAGTCTGTATATTATATTATAGTATGTTATATTATAGTATATAATTTGATCGGTTTGAAATGTTTGCTTGTCTGCAGCGTTGCACACAACAGCAGCGTATTTTAATAGGCAAGAAAATCCTCAAAATAACTAATTTCATAGTGTTTTGAAAATATGACTTTTTACTCAAGAATGGTCATCAACGATGCTTTCTAAAGGCTGTTGTGTGTTTTCTCATATTTCAGGTTACATATAAAATCATCACATTAATGCTTTGAACAATGAGACAATAAACAGACTATCTTTAGAAGAGATTTAATAACTCTGTAATTACAGGGTAGAAATTCCAGAGTACAATTACCTATTTATACAACTGATAAATCATAAAATGTCATTCTTTTAAAAATACAAAAATAAGTCACTGGACACACGTACCATACAAAATGCAATAAATAGAGATAAAAAATAACACCAAACACATGCACAGTCTGTTGGAGAGTTAGAAAATGTAACCGTGGTGGGCACTTTCTCCCTTGTGCGTTACATTGCGAGGCTTCAGGAAACTGTATGACTCTCCTTTTTCTCCGTGTGTCATCAGAGGGTTTCTCACTCTCACTGATGCATCATGCTACTAGTACAGCTGCTATCTGGTTTCTGGTGAGTGAGCCTCTTCAGCTGCAGTGCTCCCGTGTCATGTTGTCTGCAGACCGGCCTACAATGTCCTTTTTCTGCAAGATACCACAATACAAACCAAGGAGATGGACTGTGCTGCTTGCAGAAGGAATGGTTTGTCATTACCCAATACAATGGTAATACTTAAGCAATTTACTTAATCTCTATAAACCACGCAAAACATAATTGATGGTGGCAATGTGTTACGTATTTTTTGCACGTTACTGCAAATTGTGTAAAGGAACACTTTGGTATTTTTTCAACCCGGACCCTAATTGACCCATGTTTTCGTCACAACTCTCGACTATGTTTCTTTGAATTGGTTCAGTATTGAGCAAGAATGCTGGCTTGTCCACTAGCTGCTTGTTTAGGCCACGGACAAGCTCATATTTTGTATTAAAAGTGTCAACAACATAATAGAAAGGATCCCGTTTACCTTTCTGCTGATTTCACCTCTTATTTTATTTTATCATAGGACTTTCTGCCTGAAAACAGTTGTTCTCAGAGATTGTTTGATCGGAGTACAGTCAGTGTAGCTTAGAGTTTTCTTAAGGACCTTCAATGTTGTGGCTGGTTATTTAGCTGATGTTGTTAAGATGGATGCAACACAAGACTTCTGAAAGAGAATTCTCCCGGGTTCAAAGCCAGGATCCAGCAAAGAAAACATTCTATTCATCTATTTCTGTGACACTTAGAATAACCACATGAGCCTGTAATTGATGAAAAACAAGCATATGTTGACGTAAACTGAAGGTGTGTAATTGCCCATTAGGATTACATAGCAGCCTGTCTAGTGGGTCAATACTGGACCAATTTAAAAATGGTTGTCACTTAGACACAAAAACATGGGGCAATAAGGTACAAGCGGACAAATATCCCTTAGGTTTCCCATTGGATCTTTCGTGTAAACAAACAAAAACTATCTTTCGGTGTGAACAGAAATGTACCGTGTGCCTAAAATGTTGCCGGACTTCAAATCTATTTTTTCTCCGGGATGTTTGAGGTCATTGGTTCATGTTACTGTTCTATAAAAAAATCAACAGACCTTTAAATTGCTTCAGAAAGGTGATCAGTCACAGTGGTTTGGAGTCATTATTTACAGATGCAGTTGATGCACCTGTAACTAACCCTAACTCTGTTTAGTTCCAACTGGATGAACTGTAGTGAGAACTCACTACACTACCTGTGTGCTACAGCAGACAGGCTGTTCTCCTCCTCTCTTCGCGCTCCTTTACTTGGAGGAGTTGCTGCTTTGCTTCTCGTCGCTGCTTTGCTTCTCGCCCCCGGGTAGCGCATTAGAGCTTTCATACTCCGGATCCACCTGCTCCTCTTTGATTGATATCCTCTTTGCATCCTCTGCAGAACACAACAACCAAGAGTTAGTTTCTCGTATAAATATGTAAACAAACGCATAAATATGTCTGTGAAAATGACTGCTTCTGTTTCAATGTGGAGCTAATTTTGCCATATTTATATAATATAAACGTTTCATTTACGTAAGACGTAAACAAGTTTCAAATAAATGTAGTAAAAATAATAATATTTCCTTCTGAGATGCAGCGGTGTAGGAGTAGTAGAAAACAGAAACACTCATTGTGTAGTGAATGTACTTAAAGGTGGGGTAGGTAATTTTGGAGAAACCAGCTCGAGTGCGCTAGAATTTGAAAATACACAGCCGGGAAAAATGTGCCACTTCCTTACAGAGCCCCTCCTCCAACACACACCAACGGCACATGACCAATGAGGGCACGAGATAAGTTTGTGCACAGATGGAAGGCTGACAGGCAGGTAGGCCATCCAGTTATTTTAGCCGGGCCGGCTCAGATGATTGTCGTGCCTTTTACAGCACTACGGCTTCCACAGATTACATTTGTTTATGTATTTATTGTCAAAGCATTTCATGTATTCATTGCTATTGGGATGTTAAGAGCATTCATGCAGTGTTGCCAACTTGGCGACTTTGTCGTTATATTTGGCGACTTTGTCCAAACCCTCCGGCTACTTATTTTTGTTAAAAGCGACTAACGACTAATCTAACGACTTGTTATGGTGTTATTAGGGACTTTTCTGGTGTTTGGAGACTCACGTATTGTTCTGCAGTGAACGAGCCGCGGGTGCTGCTGTGAGCCCCTCATTTCTGATCTACTTGATCCTTGAAGGGGGTGGAACGTTTTTTATATGATATGCAAATTAGGCGATGACTTCGTTTAGGGACTTCTGGTGACTTTTCGGACAGCCAATAGCTGCTTTCCTTACTATGGAGTTGGCAGCACTGATTCCATGGAATATAGCTAAAAGTGTTTCTGCAGTGAATTACCTACCCCACCTTTAAATGCAATTGCAAGTGCCATCTAGGAGTGATTAATGGAGGATTTTTTTCCTTCACACAACGGTGGTGTTGTTGTTAATGAGTCTGTTAGCAGTGTAGCTCTGTTTGCTAGCTACAGTGAAGCTAAAAATAAGAGTGTCAAACCAATACAGCAATGAATTGTTATGACTACCTCAGCAAAGATTAAACATTAGGTGTATTAAAAGCAATAACAAGTAGTTTCAAGGAGCAGTTATAGAAATATTTCTTTATTTCACACAAAGGTGACAAACTTCGTAGCATTGCTAATGAGTCTGTTAGTAGTGTATCTGTTTGCTAGCTACAGTGATGCTACATTTAAGAGCCTCAAACCAATACAGCAATTAACTGTTATGAATACCTCAGCCAAGATTAAACATTACAAGTGTATTAAGTGCAATCACAATTGGTATAAACAAGTATTTATAGACTTATTTTTTATTTCACACAAAGGCGACATCCTTCATAGCATTGCTAATGAGACTGTTAGCAGTGCAGCTATGTTTTCTAGCTACAGTGAAGCTACATTTAAGAGCCTCAAACCAATGTGGTAATTAACTGTTATGAATACCTCAACAAAGATGACACATTAAATTCAATAACAAGTAGTTTCAAGCAGCAGTTCTAGAAATATTTCTTTATTTCACACAAAGATGACGTCCTTCGTAGCGTTGCTAATGAGTCTGTTAGCGGTTTAGCTCTGCCTGCTAGCTGTAGTGAAGCTAAAAATAGGAGCCAGAGCTTCAGACAAAATCTGGGTCACATTTGATGCTCACTGTGAGGACTGAAGCAGTGACAGTGCTGCTGCTGATGTATCCACTGATAATCCCCATATTTGTCTGGTTTTATATCAGGTTTTCAGACAAATGCTAACATGGTTTGTGGTAACATAAATCTGACATCTCCCTCCTAAAGCACTGATTTTAGACGGTAAATTATCAGTTTATGAACTAAAAGAATCAGAATAATTGTCCGTAAACTGAATGGAGATAAACAAATTCAATATTAGACTGATATGAACTCATATTCTTCCTATCCATCGACTGGTAATAACAGGATTTACTTTCATAGACTTCATATTCAAAATAATATCACACCTCGTATTGATTATAACTTTGGCACCATAATGTGGTTTGACTCCTCTGCAAATATGGTGCTTCTGTGCATCAGACAGCAGGGTTTAAAAGCATAGATTACATTAGGTTGTATATCCAGTATTATATTGATGAAATATGGATTGATGAATCATGATGTAAGGGGAGCAGAGGAAGGTCAGACGCTCCTGAGCATCCCTCCTCTTCCTCCTCCCTGTTAATGTTGAGGGGAGGGGGTTTATGGAATAATGGCTGTAATCCCTCCGCAGGACACGGCACACGTTTAGAGGAAGAGTAGGAGGTTTGTGAGGTTGTGTGTGAATGCATGAGCGCATGTACGTGTGAAGTGGTTAATCCTGGGTTTTGCATGTTCTAAAGCCACCTGAGGTTA